CCCCAAAACCCCAAAACCCCAAAACCCCAAAACCCCAGAGTATGAAATAATAATTGTAATATCTATAAAATCGGGGGAAATGGAAAACAAAGGCTCTATTGAAGGCTGTGAAAGATATGTCACTATGATGATCATCTACTCGTGATTTGGGTTGCTCATTCTCTTGTTCCAACTTTGGTATTCAGTCAAGTTCTTCAAAATATATAGATTTAAACATAAATTGACAAGTATTTTTATGGTATTTCTGACTTTATCTATTATCTGAGACATCATCTATGGGGTCTCTCAAGTGTGGCTCAGACATGTAGATTCTTGAAATGGCAATGCACATAGTTGTGCTGATTATTGGACTGATTGGATAAATTACTTTATGTACATGAGCACGATCATAGTCCTTTCGTTCACTTATATTTCGCAAATATTGAGATTTAAGAACAGAGGAAGAAGCAAGAAGCGTATTTATAACATAATTTTATGGACTTCCATGCTTGCTATTCTTCTAATATGAGCTATTATATTTATTGCAGATGGCATACATGAATGTGCCAAATCTGATCCTCCTGTATTGTTCACAATCGGGATCCAAATTGCAACTGGAATTTATATGCTAACTGGCATCTTCTTCATGGTGACTTTGCTCTATTTCTACAGAGTTCTTAAAAGAGTAGACACTGACACCAACACCAATGGTGTAAGACTTTATAAATAAACTTAAATGCAGACTATTTGTTAGTATCACAGTCATTTTTGTTGTCTTTGAAATCAGAAGTGGTATGATATTGGCGAGAAGCTTCTATGATTTCCTCGCATCTTGGAAAGAAGACTCAATGAAAGACAATGATCTTAGATATGTCATTTATATCTTCTGATATTATTGCTTACTCAGTTTGGTCCCTGCAATAGTTCAAATTTACTTGATAAAACTGAGTCTATCTTCGACTCCAAGAATAAGTATTAGGCTTGGACAAGATTACTTCCAGTCGCAACCTTTACTCTCTGGCAACTTTGAAGTATCTCGAAGTGTAAATTTTATGGGATTAATAATTATAGTTGACAAGTGAGTCACGCCAAAGTGTCAATATTATGGAGCTTGACCATAATACCTCTTAAGTTTGGAACAGTTTTCAATATTGGTGACACCCACTGGGGTTTTGGGGTTTTGGGGTTTTGGGGTTTTGGGG